TACCTCATTATTTATTCTTGGTGCAGTCCTCCAATTAAACAAAATTTTATATATAGAAACAGGGATGGGCTTAGCTTACTTTTTCAGGGTCATTTTCAGAGACATGAACACTGAAGTTGTGCAGACTCATATTACACAGCAGGTACTCTGTATGTTCATGTGCATATGTGTGTGTGATGTTACACACTGTTGGAAAGTTGATAGTGAATGAAGGAAATTCAGAGATTCCTGGTGGATATCAGTTGAAATTCCTTTATTGGGTAATAATGCAGGTGTTACTGAAGCCACTAGAAGTGTGTTAGTTGTCCCTAAGAAGCTGAAAGGACTGAGAAAGAAAAAAGCCTACTACATTTTAATATCAATAGCACTTTGTGGAAAGAAAACCAGATGACTTTGTATGTGATCATTCAAAACTTCTGTCTAGGAAATATTGAAGTGAGAAAGGAAATCTTGATTACAACTTTTGTTGCTAGTCATGTGCAGGATAATGCTAATATATTTAAGAGAACCCTAATTTACTGTGATAGTTATGTGAACTATAATACAGCAGATTTATTGCTGCAATTCAAGGCTTCTCTAACAAGTAAAACAAGTGGATTACACAGACAACATCAGTTAGAATTATGTAATAGTTTAACACAAATATATTAATTTTTAAAGACCATAGCTCTTTCCAGCACTTTTAACATTCACAGATTTCAAAGGTGAAGCAGGAACAAAGTGTATCTGACAATGGGAAGAGCTAGATAGGGGGATTTTGTTCAAGAAAATTTACACGCAATTAGGAGTCATGCCATTAATATTTTTGCTGTTACAGATATCCCAAGTCCTGATATAAACTAGTATGCATAGAACATGAGTTTTTGCAGGCTCTGACAACTTGACAATTCTATTACTACGATGTGTTAAAAGAGCCATGAGATATAACTGCCACAGGAAAGTTTGTAGCTTCTATCTACGTGTAGCATTCCAATAATTTTATTATGCACACAGAAAAAAAACTTTGAAAGTCTTCCAGGGCTGGGATTTATAAAATAAACTGGTTATAATTTTATTGTATCTAAATCTAGCCTGGTTTTAATGCAAGAGAAAACCGAGCATGTTGGAAGAACTGCAAACCTGCTGCTCTATGTTTCCTTTACATGTCAGTTTTCCAAGGTTCATGCACCTCAAGTCAGAGCACAATGCAAATTAAGTACAATACATTTTTATATAAGCCCCTAGATATAAGTTCTGGACGAGGCTCCAACACAGCCAGTCTTGCAAAGAACTCAGTGTTAGTTGTGCTCAACGGACATCACAAATTGCAGCAACATTTAAGCAGCATTCTTGAAGGCAAATAAATGGATATGAATATAGACAGACCTTGTTAGGATAAGAGAAGCAAAAAAGAAACAAAATAGAAAATTCCAGAAAAATAGAAGAAGGATTAAAGTTGAATGGAGAATATGATGATAATAATGCAAATGCAGTATCATGATAAAAAAAGTTACAAAGAAACTTGAAGATGTTACTTAAGTCACTGTCAAATGATGCTGTGGGTATATGAAACCCAGATCTCCACTGCACATTCCTGGTACTCCTGGGCCCTGTGACATTCCATTCACCAAAGAGGAAACTCAGAAGACAGATGACAATGTGCATGTACCACTGCATACACTAATGAGAACAGAGTAGCTCTATGAAAATTATTCAAATTAGAACTAAGCTGCCTATTTATAGGGGGGCTGATCTGCAGAAATGTCAAGTTTAGGCATTATGTGCCAGTTCCACCAGGCAAACTCCTGGGTTTTGAATCACATGGGTGATCATTTTGTATGTGTTTGAAGGTTAGTATGTTTCTGTGGACAATAGGTAATAGTCACTAAAGACAGATGAACAAAAGCTATTTCACTGAATCTTCAGATGGAAATGTGTTTCTCTTCCTGCTAATCTAATGATTATTATTATGATACACTGATGATTCCAGTGTCTATTTCCAAGCTTTCTGAGTTGGGGTTGATGGAATTCAAATGCAGCTGAACTATAGTCATCAAAGAGAAGCTGGCACAGTGGGGAATGGTGATTTGCAATTTAAACTTTTACAATTTTTTAGTACCTATGTGATAGATTTAGTAGTAATTTTGAAAATTCTACCCTTAAATTATAAATTCACTTTGTCATTCTTGAAAATCCTCCTGTAATGCTCCTGCCTAAAATCCTTTAATTTAATATTCCTAGGAAGACTGCTTTATAGCAGTTGAAGATTAAGATAACTTTGCCAGGCTCTAAATAACCATGCTACAATTAGTATATATGCAGGCCCATTTTGATATATTGCAGCAACATCATCTGTTTAGACAACAAATCACCATAGCAGTGTAGTAGCCCTGGTTACCCTTACTAAGTTCAGTAAGACTAAAGAATTTGTCTCTTAGCTAAGTATTGGCTACCCAAGCTACTGAACATTTCTTCCCTGTTTCCAAGACTAAGGCTATTTCTTCATTTTAATTTATTGCAGAGAAGGTTTAAAATGTACAGATCAAAAGTCAAGTATAAAAGCAGCCGGCCTATTTGTATCGAAAAGTCTGGGAGATTAACTTTCTAACATTTTCTTCTCAAAAAAATGGCACTGAAACTTTAAGACATTTTTATATTTCCTTGTACAACCTTATCAATACTTTTAGTCAGTAACTTTGAAGGTAAAGTTTGTTTAGGTTAGGGACTACACATAGACAACATGGCAAGCAAAATGACTCCTTTGCACTTGTAGCTAGAAACCAGTGTCACAACTTGCAGGAATATATCTAGTACCTTCTGCTTCAGAAAGACACACCACTGACTTCCAACCTAACCTAATACAGTAAAATGCCAAGTCACAAATAAACAACATAAAATGTTACATGTGTTTTTTAAAGAAAAAGCCAAATAGTGCATTGAAAACAAACAAAAAAATGTACAAAAAATCCACATGTATAAACAAAAGGCAATTGATATCAAGTATTAACTATTTATTTGCATTACATGACTTTGATCTTGCGTACAACACAAAGCTACACTTTTATAACCTCTTCATATACCCTTTTTTGCCCCTTACATAAATCTAAACAAAAAAAGGACTGACAAAACCAAGGTGTGGAACATCTGAAAAGGAAAGAAACAATTCATATAACATTTTCAGGATGCAAATGCATGAACAACACATGTTTTCAAGGGCTGTTCAGCTGTTTCTGAGCCAGGCACTACAGGCCATGTGTTCTGGGCATTCATGTACTCATTCTGATTTCTGTTCTATTAGCACCACTTTACAGGCATCCTCAGCTCTGAACATTTGAATAAGCAAAAGTCTCATGGAAAGACTTCTTGTTATATTAAAGGAAATAAATTAGAATATAGGGCAATAGAAACCCTAGGATCTGGATTATAAACCACACACTAAAAATAAAAATGTTCTGCTATCAATACAGCCCAATGAGAAACAAGGTAATTAAAAAATTGTATTCTTGTTATGGATGCATTTAATACTGCAATTTGCATCTTCAGCAAAAGGTTCACTTTGAAAATCTGTCACAGCTCAGTCCTAGACTGTAAGTTAATGAATTCATCATTCACACTTAAAACGCAGAGTAAGCATTAAACCTGAAAGTGCATAGTGGAGTTTTCACTCAACCTGAGTAGAGAAAAATCAATATTTTCTCCCATAATGATGGATATTTTATTGATCTGTTGTTACCTTTATAATAATATAAATACGTATGTGCCAATCTTTAGAGATATTTTGTAAATAGCTAATGTAAATACATTAGCATGTAATGCTACAGCACCAACCCTTTTGGCAATGCCAGTTTGTTACACAGTTGTCAACATTCAGTGCAGAAGGTATGTTTTTAACAATATACACATTCACAAACTGACATAAAATAACTTTTCCCCATTTTGTCTTAGACAGAATGCTCTAAGTTTTATCTTCCAGGTGACAATACCTTTACTGAATTTATTGATGGTCTATTTAAGACATAAAAATGCAAGTACAATAGGACACACAAAGAGGACAAAGCTGGAAAAACTGTCAACAATTTTGAAAAAACATACTTAGAAACCTATTGCATTTTATGAGAGGAGATATGCTCTGGTGTAGAGGAATAGTCCCAATGTTATATCTATTTTTCACTTTCAAGTGAAGGAGGTGAAAGAGCTATCAAAACTGATTAAAAAAACAAAGCATCTTACAAATATATGCATGCTGAGTATTAAAATGTATTGTGCCACCACTGAACCTCTATCCAGTCTAGTCCAGAGGAATGCACTTTGCAAGACCTAGTAAGACAGAGATGTGCTATCTTTGGAATGTCAAAAAGGAGTTTAACTTCTAGTGAAGTAAGCAAATAGAATGTAGAACATACCTTACAACTGTAGTTCACTGCAACTAAGGCTTATGATAATGTTCTAAAATTCATTACTGAGTCCAAGTATGTTCTAAATGAGCTCCTGACAAAAGACCACCATGTGTTTCAAATGGTTCCTTCGCTATCAATGGAAAACTGGCAGTTTCCAGAGTGTAAGACATAAATAAACATGGCATTAGCAAAGTGATATATTAAGCAGCAGTTCACACATACTAATCAAAACACAGTAATTTTTAGCTTTAACAAGACATAATTTTCAAAAGAAAACATCTTTATCAATTAGTCTTAGCACTTCATTCTTATGGAGTTGGTGAAAAACTTAATTTAGGTAATTCAGTGATACAGAATTGGTTAAAGTGCTGCAGGAAGAATAAAAATAATTTGGTTTTCTTTATTAATTTATTTTTTTTTTCCTCATGAAGCTTGCCTTCAGTAATAATTAACTCAAATGACAACACTCGCTAGTTTTAACTGGCTGGATGGAACAGCATTAGCAAGAAACAGCTGTTACCTTAGCTGTTACCTTTATTTAATTTATTAAAGTATTTAATGTACTTTGCCAAAGTACTGTGCAAGAAAAGCTTGTCCATGCCCTAAATAGAACAATCTCACTAGTCATCTTTTGCTTTTTCCTTGCGATATTGCCTCTCCATAGGTCAAGTGAATAAAGTCAAAGAGTTGTGTGGCATTGGCAGCATTACCCAAAATTTTGGAGAGTTCATCCTTTGACAGTGTCACTAGCTCTGCTATGCTTTTAACGTGGTTCATTAAGGCACGGCAGTTTTTGGCATTGATACCTGGCATTTTTAGTAGAAAGTCCTGAGGACCAGGGTTGTACTTGTCTGACTCAGGAAGAATTTCAGAATCTGCTGTGACAGCCATTGCTGTTTCTGCGTCAGGCTGGGGATAGTTTTGTTTTAACTCTTCAAACAGTTCAGCAGTAGCATGGGGAGAAGGACACCACAGGATACGTAACTTTGGGAAATGCAGAGTAAGAAGGGTTAGTTTAGAAGTAATATCACTACTGGAAATTTCCTGATGTAGAGAGCCTCGTGGAATCAAGGAGAAAGGTTTGTTAGGATCAAATTCAATCAGGAGAATTGGTCGCTTATAGTATCGGGACATAGAAACGCATTGTGAGTACAGTCTTCCATTGTTTAAGGAACCTATCAGGTCACTGATACTTTTCCGCTCTACACAGATCTCAGGAGTTAAAATATAATCTCCAACTTCCAAAGTAACAGGCTCAATGTCAATACCACGACGATGAATCAGTGATGGAAGCTCACTACGAAACTCCCGCATATCCACTATTACAGTTTGCTGAACAGTCTTCTCTTCCTGTCCACCTAAAGAGCAAAAAAAAGACAGTTAACCAAATACTTCGGAATTTGGACTCTGGTTGTAAAGTTTTCCTGTGTGCTGCCAATGGACTTCACATCTCAAATCATACCTCAAATTCAGCAGTATAATAAATCTAGACTTTATTTTCATTATATAGAGAAAAGTCAGTTGCCAAATTATAACCTCTAGTTTATGGACTGCCCTGCAGTTCAGTAGAACTGTTCTGCTACCTGCTGTAAGCTTTGTATGTGTGACAATGAAATATGTGAAACTGTAGATGAAAGTTACCAGGAAAATCTTTAACAAGTTGCCTGCAAAACAAGGTAACAAAGATGATCTTTTTTATTTCCAGCTGTTTCCCACAGAAACATGGCATTTTATTGTAGGAGTTACACCTTAGCCTCTATAGATCTGCAGAAGGACATGTGAAGATACAGCAGCATCAAGGCCACAAAAGACATAATAGCAAAGATTAGAGAGCATACGGTAAAGGAAAGCAGAATAACAAAAATGGCAGCAAAGAAAAATGGGCAGAGGTGTGAAGGTAGAGACAGAATATACACATCAGAGGAAAGAAGCAAAAATGTGGTTAGAACTGCAACAAAAGAAAGAAGATGCCTTATTGCAGAGAAAGTAGACAAAAAACCCCATCTGCAGTTTTTTAACCAGGCAATCTGTTTTGCCAAGATCGAAAGTCCCCAACATTTACTAGCTCAAGGACACTGCCTTTGACTATCTGTGAACTTCAGTTTTTATGTTTTAATTTCTCTCCACCCCTCTACAAGCAATACTAGACAGTCTCATAACCAACAAGATGCCTAGAAACAATCCAAATGCTATCTGTCTTAATGGTAAAATACTTCATTGATCTGTATTTTCTTTTCAAAAGAAAACACAATTCACTGTCATTGCACTGACAGAGGCAGATGGAGTAGGAGATGATGACTCTTTACCATCCAGACTGCCAAGTCAATGGGCAACGTGTCTGTGATCCAGACAGGATTTAAACCCAATAGTTACAGCTTGGAGCTGTGACATTCAGGCACCGCTCACCTGCTTTGCGTGTGTCAGTAGAAGCAGAGGCAGATTTAGCACCTCTTACTAGTTCTAAGTTTGTGTCATCTCTTCCTTCTCTTTCTTCAGGAACAACCATGCCAGCCTTCTCTCTAAGGAACCACAAAGAAACAATAAAAACTGCAATTACATGTGCAAAATAGATGAAAATATTTTAATACCCTTCAGCCAGATATAAAATTATATATAGTTTAATACTAATTGCAAACCTGAACAGAAATGCAATTTACTAGGTTTTCCAGATTGTTGGGCTGGATGCTGTATTTTTATTTTCCACTGTTAGCACTTCTTAGCACCTATTTTTTTATTTTTATGATTTCTCAGGGCATATAAAACAAAGGTACTAATGACAAGTAATAGCAGCATAACCTGGTGAGAAGATACTGTCAGTAAAAATACTGTCTTACACAGTCCAAATATAAAATTGTTTTATGACTTAAGCCATAAAAACCTTAGAGAGATCTTACAAGAAATGTTAGCTGCATACAAAAACAAATTTACAGAAATAAAAATCATAGACAATTCGGGGAAAATACAAACTGTGCTGTTTAGCCTTTGAAATCTAATATAAAACCCCTAAAATTAATAAAAAAATATCAAGTGCTTTGAAAAGGAAGGTTTTGACTTTTCATTGATTCTCAGTGGGAAAGTTCTCTTAACATCCAAAAAGAAATTGAATTTTAAATTAAAAGTTTATTTCAAGCCTTCACACAGTTAAGAACTTCACTCTGTTTATGATGTAATCACATACATTATTAATAAAGGCAATAAACCAATTTACTTACCGAATGAGTTTTTCAAAGGCCTCCTTCTCTTTTCTCAGAGCTGTGAGGTAGCGCTGCTCTTCTGTGGAGCCCCCGTATATGAGGAAATAGACTCTGTAGGTTTGGAGGAGAAAAAGACAGATCACAAAACTTCATATTGACTTAAAAACACACACAACCAGTATTTAAGATTAGTAGCAGTAATTGCCTGACAAGGTAGTATTTGCCTTAAAAAAAGGCAAGTGGAAAAACACTTGTCTTTTTCTGTAAAGTTATTCCAAAATCAGCAACAAAAATTCTTATATTCAGTGTTCCCTCTTCTCAGTAGCAAATACACTTACTGGAATTCTGGGATTCAACTGAGATTCCAGTCAGCTATTAAGTCAGGAAAAAAAGCAAATACAACGGAGAAGTTACTTTTTTACTGTTTTTCAAATCTTCCCCATAGCATATATACAACAAACTAAAATCATCTGCAACCATTCTGGGTTAAGAAAAAACACCATATAAGATTTTAAAATACAAAGTTATATATTAAATTATATATTTGTACAAGGATTTCATAGGCTCTACAAAGAACAAGCTGCCATTTATCTCACACAGACAAATGAAGTTTTATTCTGCAACTAGGGATTTATATGGAATATGTAAGAATTAATTGCATATAGCTTTTCAGCATAGTGACTTTCCCCAATATATTTTAATTGAGGTAGATTTTGACAGATTTGTAGGATTTTATTCCTATTACTTTTTTTAATGTGGTGCATCTCCTAGCCTGTACTTGTATTACTGCATCTGATCTTCCTGCTCTGAAGTGTGGAAACATGATGGAGATAGATGTAACACATGCTGATTAGGCAAGTAAAAATAAATTGTATGAATAACTCAGTAATTATCCTGATGCAATAAATGTATTTTGTGAGTTCTGTTATTCATATCTCAACTAGAGAGGCCTTACCTGACTATCAGGTACAGACACAACAAACAAATTTTCATTTTCATTTGCATTACATGTATCCAAATCTCTGACTGGAAAATTACAACTGCTTTGTTAAATTTATGCAAATAATCTTCAAGAAGTGATTAAAGTATAAAGCATCATAATTCAAAAGGTAATAATTTCAAATAGTAGATAAAGCATGTTTATTCTAAGACTTATGGAACTGACAAGTTAATTTCAGAAAGGTAGAGGTGTAACTACAGTTTACTGTATTCAAGAAATGCTGTACCAGGCAGCTGTATAAATGAGAGTTAATTAAAAAAAACTCATAGTATATTAAATTTTAAATGTTCTGTATTTTTCATTAGTCTGTAACATCTATTTGTAAAAGTGAGTTTTGCAATTTCCAAGTGTATCAAGTATATATACACAATTGGGAAATCTTTCTGTCAGCTAACACCAGAACTGAATATAACTGCATATACTTCTCATTTTCTTTACCGTGTTTTCCTTTACTTGTTTTTCTGTTACAGTTCCTGAGCAGGAAATGTGAAAGTTAATTAAAGCCAAAATGAAGTTTATTGTGTCAAAATCATACCTATGGAGATGGTTTAAATTGAGACTGCAGCACCTCAGAATGGATCTATTGCTACTGATATAATCTAAGCAGAGGTCTTGCAGAAGATGGAATGAACTTTTTTTTTACAGGTATGTTTCTGCTGTTAAAGTACTAAATACCTGCTAGACAGTAGAAATTCTCTCTTTATTACATTGGACATTATGCTTTTGTTTAAAATTAAGACGAGGGCTGAACAGAAATTGAAGGTACCTAAAGAACAATCACAAGATGCATGTTCTGCCTTGACTACTGAAAATGCACTTTTTAGTTTTTAAGACTAAATTACCCTGGCCAAGTCAACTTGCCTCAAAGGCTTCCCAGGCCTGCTTGCCTTGTAGATTTCCAGCTGCCGGACAAAAGTTAGTTCTGCATCATATAAGACAACGTATCTTGGTTCCAGTTCATGCAGCACCCGAGTGAGTGCATAGGGATCATTGCACCCTTGCAGTGGATGAATAATGGTGAGCGGGTTCTTGAAAATACCATAGTAACAATCGGAGGGTAAGTTCACGTGGAAATCTTCAGCAACGATCTCTTCAATACTGCCTTCTTGGCTACTACTTAATTCTTTGTTATCTTCCACCTCTAACTCCTCTCTCTTTTCCTCCTCAGTTTTCCCCATCATTTGGGTTATAGTCCGGTCTTGCTGCTTCTTGTGTTTATTTTGTTTTGAAGAAGCCATGAGTTTGGGTTTTTTGGCTTGAGGGCCTGTGTCTGGTCTGGCATTTCCTTTGGACTTGACAGCTTTTCTGTCCTTAATCCACACTTCTGTAGCTTTCTCATCTTTTCCAAAGGTCTTGTTATACAGTCTTGTTAAAAAAGCTTCTGCTCCAGCAATAATGTACTCCCTGAGCTGTGCACAAACTCGGTCATCGCTGGCACAAATAAGCACTTGCCCTGCAGTCAAGAAACAATATCATGTTTATCATCTGTGACACTGTACTTCTTATCCAGCTACAAGACATTTCTGGAGCAAATTGTTTTTAATGATCCTAGGAGCATGCCTGCCAAATGCCTTTGCATTTGATTATTACAGTTGCTCTGGACTTTCAGGGATCCTAAATTGCATGACGTCTTGTACCAAACAAGATTAGAGGAGGCTAATGGCAATTCAGCATTCCTTATTCTTACACCATCTAAATTAGTGAGCTTTTCCTTTTGACTATCTGAAATGAGGCAGATACAGCACCTAATGCAATATACTTGGACAACTCTTTTTTTTTTTAAAACATGGAATAAGAGAACTTAATTTAGACTGTTCTAATTTTCAGCCCTTATCAGCTGTGTTGGAGTCTAAAAAATCCATGTTTCACACAGTATTATTGACATTTGTGGGCCTGGAATAACAATTCTCCACAAGCTGACTCAGATAAAACTCCTACATCACTAGGTGAGAGAGCCAGTTCTTATCCAGAGTCAGAACACTGTGGGTGGGAAAAAAGAGCACTTTTTTACCCTTACTGTTTCCTAAAATAAAACTTGGTGAAATTTAAGGGGATGAAAAGCCCTGAAATAGGAAAGGCAGTAAAGCAGTTAGTTAGAAACACACTTGCCTTCTATTATCTACTTTGTTTTGGTGCATCTCCTGAAGAAACAAATTTTTAGATGCACGAGAAGAATGTGTGAGATGGAAAGGGCCTAAGATGAACCCTTTTTTTTTTAACGTGAACTTGAGAAATGAGTGGATGGTACCTTGATTATTATGAATTTCTGTGTAATTACTTTTATTAGTTTTGAGACTACGGTTTCAATACAGTATTGAAATGGAAGTGAAAATATTTTTGTATTATAATATAGGTTCTTTCCTAAACAGCCAACAACATTTCTCTTTTGGAGCAAGAACTAAATAGGAGTTTATGTAAAACTACTTAGTTTTACATAGTCTAGATACATAAACTCGTTTTCTTAAGACCACAAATGATTAAACTTAAAGCTAGCTCTATAATAAAACTACAGTAAAAAGTTAGACTCCTTCTCTCAAAATTAAAGTAAAAACTAGGTGTACTGTAAAAACTTAAATAATTTAGTAATCTCTCACCTGGACCACCAAGGTCTTCACTGCTCTTATTCTCATTTTCAATCTCTTTCAGCACTTCTCTCAAAGCCTCCCATTTTGGGTTACTTTCTAGAACTAATTCCCTTTTCAGTTCTGAAACAAAGAAAGATTGAACATAACAACTCTTATAGCCAAAATACCCTTCACAACTTTAAATTACTGCTCAGATAGCAACAGAGTGATGGTTGTTGGCAAATATGATATTCAACAGACTACATATGATCAGCTGAGCAAGCTTAGAACCCCTCAATTCTTCTCTTTCATGTTATTATATGCTTTTTGAACTCAGATTATGTCTCAATGTATCCCAGCTAACGGACTGAGATCTTGAGCTGTGTTCAATCATGT